AAAGTATAATTCTATTTTAAGATGTCATGTATCCAGGGAGTAAGACAGAACATGTAATGCTTTGTCTGAACAAGACTAGGTGTGACCTCTCAATCTAGTAAAACCTTTATAAGCATATAAACAGCATTTTATTATAAATCTGAGAACACCAAGCACGAGAAGCTGAGTTAAAAAATTATATACATTTCATGTATGCATACATGACATACATACACACATAAAACAATATATGTTAAATTAAATCAGAAGCAACTAAATAAAAAACTCACTTCTACAGAGGCACTTATTTCTTGAATCTCACGTTTTAAGCAACCAGTTAACATGGAGGTAACATACCACGTAACAAACTGGCTAAGTCACACCTACCCTCCTTCCCCCCTAAGTCTTTAAACCTTGTCAACACAATTAAGAACAGAAGGTGGAGATTCAGTCATCTGACATGTTTAATTCATCCGGGAATAAAAGTGTGCTTGAGAGAATTTTCACTGTTACTTTAAAACAGAGGGATAATGCTGTATTTTTCCTTAAAGGCTTTTAGAATCATTAAATACTACATATTACGTATGAGATTCTGAGATCAATACCATTCTGATTAAAATAGAACTGGGAAGTCAATTTAGCATTTGAGATCTGCTATCACCACAGCCTACCTCTTAGGGCAGCTGTTATCTATGAAATTGTAGGTTATGGGTCAGTTTTTAATACACTGCTCCTCCCCCATCAAAATTCTGCAGCTTCAATCAGAACAATTATTAACTAAAAACAAGACAAAATTTTCATTCATGGATGGGGGCTTGGCATACTTTTGTAACCAGGTCATTAATAATCTGGACAAGTTTTCAATACATAGATGAATAATAGTATTAAGTGAATATGTGTCATTCCTGAAGATGAACCAGGAAAAGCTAAAAGGCTAGATTTATTTTAACACAGAAGCTGCAGCTGTAGCCCTGAAGTCCATCTGGTATACCATCTTGAGCAAATGGCTGATAAACAGGAAAAGAAAAAAAAAAAAGAAAAAAAAAAAACATTTATACACTGATGCTTCCCTGAACCATCTCAAATTGGGGAAAATATTACAAACTTTTCATCAAAATCAACCATTCAAATAATTTGGGATTTTATTTCACTCCCCACCCCCCACCCCACCCCCCCACTCATAACCACATGTATTAACTACGTCTGTTTTGACCAAATTATATTTTGATAATGGATGTGAATGACTTTATGAAAGGTATTGTAAAGTATGAATTTTTTGTAGTAAAACCTGCTTCTAAAGGAAGGTCAAGTTGTTCTTATTCAAGGTATTTTACATCAATGTAGCTTCCAAGGAAAAATTACTCCAATTACCTGAAAATATTTTAAAATAAAGCCGTTTCTTGAAAGCTAAGGAGACACTACTTCTGTGGGGAGACTCGGTAACTTGATCATGAGGCCACAGTGAAGAGGGAATTCTGCAGAGCATCCTTTAAGAGGCAGCTAGCCAAAATAATTTCTGCAAGTGACTGCTTTTATGAATATAAATTCCACACTAAAAATATCAATTGACATAATTCTTGGATTCTACAAGACAGAATGGACTGTTTTATTAAGATTCAAGCTATACATCAATATATAGCCAAGCTATTATCACAAGTGTCTTGAAAAAAAATTAAGAGCTAAAATTGTACTGTAAACAACTTTAAAATCTTCTAAATACTTTTGTATGTGAAGCTATTCACAAAGTTTATTTTAAATGTGTATGTCACAAGAGAAAAGAAAATACATATTTTCATTTTTGGCATGAGAAGCAAAAATTTATCTATGAGTAATTCAGATTGAGCAAAAAACTTAAGCTCAAGCATATTTAAACAGCAGATCAAAACAAGGTAAAGCAATGTATCCTGAAATTACATACTGAAAGAGAGGTAAAAAATAGAACTATGTAGTTATTCAAGCCAAGAAAAACTTCATTTTGAACATCCAGGTAATTGGCAACAAACATTTTTGTTTTAATGAGAGAATCAATGTATCAATACCCATCTCACACTGAGTATTTAATAGTAAAAAAGAAAAAAAACCCACCTCTTACATTACCATAGATGAAAGGGAAGATACCTACCTATGTTTAGATAAATACAAAAATAAAAATATATATATACACACACAAGTGACATGTGAGACAAATCTAAGGACTATCACCTACCTGGAGCCCTGGTGACGCAGTAGTTAAGAGCTCAGCCTGCTAACCAAAAGGTCGGCAGTTCGAATCCATCAGCTCCTCCTTGAAAACCCTATGGGGCAGCTCTACCCTGTCCTATAGGGTCGCTGTAAGTCAGAATCAACTAAACTGCAATGGTTTTGGGTTTTTTTTTTTTTTTTGGGGGCCGGAGGGGGCATCACCTACATAAAGGACTA